AAACACTAAAAAAGCTCGGCGGAAAATAATTGAAAATGTGTTTTATTTTTTCATTATCATTCTACCTACCTACTACCCACATGAATTGAAACTTCAATAAACTTTTTTGGCCAAGGTTTTTCGAGAATTCAGCAAACCTTTAAACAATTTTTCGGGATTCAGTGAATTGTTGTACTGCAGATACCATAATATTATATAATACCTAAAGGTGTAGTATGATATATATTTTATTATCATACTTTATATTATGCAAAGTCAATAGTTCTTTTATGACTTTTTGACATGATAAAAATAATAATGGATCGTAGCTGCAATATATTGCAGCTCATTCACAAACTAATAAATTATATTATTTAAGCCTTAGGTCTTCACTGTGCCGCACTAAAACTTTTTATTATTTATAAATAATTGCAGTGTGGACATATTTTGTAACGATTGTAACCTCATATTTTATAATATTCTCTTAATCGTCGTCTATCGCGCATTTACGACGGATATATTATCATGTTCTATATATATTTTTTTATATATTCCACCCCCGTCCCATTATACAGCTGCGGAGTGGTAGAACACTATATTATAGTCGTTGTCACGTATAGATTGTCACGATCTAAGTATTTTCGGCTCGTCTTCGTGTAGTATATATAGTTGTGCGCCTATATCGACGATGGATTCCTTTGTCGCCGCAGGACATAGCCTCCCCGCCGCATTGTCCTTCTGACCAATGGTGGGCAAGTTAATGGAAATAATTAACTTTGGAAAGTTAAGTTAATTCATTTAAATTGCCTTCAGTTAAGTTAAAAGTTAACAAGGAAAAAAAATTTAACTAGATAAGTTAAAAGTTAAGAGAGAAAATAAAATTAACTTATCTCAGTTAAAAAAAAGTTAATTTTTTTGAAGGTACAATATTTTTAAGTCATATACTACCATAGTATTTTGTGATACAAAAACATTTACCAAGATATTTAACACTGTGTAAAAAATTAAATTATTATAATACATAATTCGAAAATAAATTACTAAAATCGTAAAAAAGTCGACCAATCGGTATTGCCTAGTTGATTACGCATAACTCAAAAATGAAATTAACTTAACTGCATGACAATGATAATTAACTGTAAAAAGTTAAGTTACAACAATAAACATTTTAACTGAATAAGTTAATAAGTTAAAAACAAAAATAATTAACTAGTTAAGTTAAAAAGTTAAAAAAAAATTAACTTTTTAACTTAACTTTAACTTTTTAACAAGTTAATGCCCACCTTTGCTTCTGACTATTATATTATTATCGTCTCCTGCTCCGCCCTCCGACTACAGACGGCGACGATACGATGCTGACTGGTGCAGTATATGTCGTATATATTATATTATACTGTATAGCAGTCCCCTCTGAGGCGAAACGATGACACGATATCATTTGTGCACAGGGTCGCGGGAACGGACGCGTTCGGTACGCGACAAGTAAATAATTAATAACCGATTCCTCTTTTCGAGGAGCTTTTAACGCCGCCAAATATATATTATTATTGCGCCCTGCAGCAGCAACCCTCCTCCCACGACGACGACGACGCCGCCCGCAAGCAGGCACCCACACACCACTGCTGCTGCTTCACCCACCACACCCCATTACCGCGGTGGATCGTCTCTCGCGTCATCCGTTTGTGCGTAAATAAACTGCGAAGACACATGTGTAAATTACATTATATATTTTAATATATCGTTTAACTATACCTAACAATATGATAGGTACCTCCTACCTACATACCCTTCGCGTTCGGCGTACCTATATGATAAGCCCACGACCCACCTATACCAGAAGATGTACCGTGGTCGCATGCTCGTTTTATATTATCTTTAGATATACCATCATAGCAATATTGTATTGTTCCATTGTGGTGATCGCCGGGCCGACACAGAAGACGAAATAATATGTGTACGCAGTTAAGAAATCGCAATCCAATGATGGCGTGCGAACTATATAGCTACTACGCTTTACGCAGCACTATTCTCCTCATTCATAATATAATTTTATTATTATAAAATAATAATAAACTCTCGTACAATTTAATATAATTATTGTTATTGTTCAAACTCTGAATGAGCTGCACACACCGCGCGTGTATAATATAATATCATACAAAGTATGTAATATTATTATTATTTATGTTTTGTGCCGAAGTCGCGTTACGATATCGCGACGTTTCGTCGACTCGGATATTTTTCCGTATAATATTTAATATCTATAAGTGTATTATAATATTATACACGTGCCCGTCGCCGCCGCCGCCGGAACGGACGATTTAATAAATGTCTGGTAAACGGTCACGATCGGCAAATTTTTTTTTTTAAATAATAATAATAATAATAATATAATATTACACCGGCAATAATGAGTAAAATAGTACTAATAAATCGTTGGTTTTTTGCTGCGGCGGAGCGGCGTCCGTGTACATATACAAACACGTATATTTATTATAATAATATATATTGTATTTATATGTATATTGACGCGTAATAATATGAAATGCACTTTGCGCCATTAACATACACACACCCGATATCCGGTGGTGTGCTGACAATAAAAATAACTCCAATTGCGTATAGTGGTTTCGGTCGAGTCGTAAAAACGTATTTCGTGTATACACGTTTGAGACGTCTGCTGCGGAGTCGTCCGCATTACTCATTTACACACGATATAATATAAATATATATTATCCCAGACAGTTTGGATCTATATAATACTATATAACATAACATGCACGATTTCACTTCGGCAGATGCACATCCAGCCACCGATCCACCGATATTAATATTATCGACACTCCGATATCGATGAGCCCCGACGAGGACCGAATATTTCTCGAGAGGCGTTCGATTATTTTAATTCAAATCGACGTCTCTATACGTACAATATACTTAATAATAAATTGTACAGTTCTATGTCCTCCATAAGTGAACCTGTGATAATTTGAAAACCATTGAACTACAGACGATGGCGGGCTTGAGGTATACAATCAGGTGCAAACGACTGATATAACTGGTGGTATATAACTGGTAACTTTATTTGTGCAACAGAGTGCTCATATTTTAGATAACATAAATACTGCAATAAAAGTTATTTGCTTCTAAACATTTTGTTTTTTCATTTGCTTATAAAAAAAATGATTGGATGGTGCTATATTAAAAAAAGAGCATGTTGTTGCACGGATAAAGTTCTTCTTTCCGTGTTGTGAAAATTTGGTAGTTCTATAAAAAATATGGTGAGAGAAAACTTGTCCCACGAAAAACAGTTTTTGCTATGTTGTACATTTGTAAGACGGAGACAACACATGCTGGTGTGACATCCTCTTAAGGCGGGGGTGCTGCCGTACTGGGGACGTGGACATTAATTTTACACAATACGATACGTACATATTACATACACTGGAACCTCGATAAGTCAAAATTCAAGGGAAATTAAATTTTTTCGACTTTTCGTGTTTTTCGACTTAGAAGGTTAGGTTTGGTTAGACTATGTAAGGGAGTGTCATTTATTTTGACTTATTAATAATAATAATAATAATAATAATTATTATTATTAAAACCAATAGCAACCATTTATAGAAAAAAAAAATATATACTAATAATCTAAAAATCCCTGTCTGGTGAACTTCCCTGGGTTAGACCTCTATTATCTACCTTTTTTCGAGACAAAATGTATAATCTTCTTCCCCTGTTAGGTATAATATATATCTCTGTACCACATTTCATCGCAATCGGATAAACGGTTTAAGAATGCATATAGGACACAGGTAGTCGGGTACAAACATTTTTTGTCTTTTATTTATTTATATAGTTAATGCTTTTTCAAAAATATTGATTATAGAAAACAGTTTTATCAGAACACGCCGAAACCGAAACTCATTCCTGCTGTACTGTGCTCACGAATATTTAAATCGGGTCATTGTGTACATCAGTATAAAAAAATATTTATGTGAATATATATATATTTATATTTAGTATATCGTGATGTGTTTTTGAAATACAATATGATAGGCTGGTTCTAAATACAAGTAATACGTGTCGAATGGTACTTTTTGAAATTTGTTTGGTTTTATATGAATTACACCATACCTACAATATTATTATTATTATAAATTATGATTATTATAACAGATTAAATCAAACTTACTTATTTAACTTATTTAATCTTCGTTATTATTATCAGTATTCCGATATTCGTCGAGTGTTGCCCGTGAAACATATCGTGCATATTATAATATATTATCTTGATAAATTTTTCACCCCCTTCGCCTGAAATCCTACGACTTGCAAGAGGGTGTTATACGATGACACATCTCATTTATGATTCTAAGCTCGTGTTTTCCGATCTGATGCTCAAGTATTAACGTACGTAAATCATTCGAGTCAACCGACTCATTAATTAGCGTCAAAACCGACATTCCCACCGCCGTCGCGATTTAAATGTGATGCAAACACGCGCCGACAGCGAAATATTATATTATTATCTGAGTGAGGCGTGTTCCTTGAAATGCTCATTAGAATATAAAATTTAGTACCTATATGCAATAATTTGTATAATTTATAATAATATGTGCAATTTATTTATATCATTGTCGTAACATGTTGTAAAATTATCATTAAGAAAAGTTTCGAAAATCATTATTACAATAAACAAACGGCTATATAGTACAAGTCATATACAACTATAATATAAAGGATACACCCACGCTCTTAAAACAAACTTCCAAATTACCAGCCTACAATTCAAAGTTTAAAATTGAATAAATTATACATTTACGCTCCGTTGTACGCACTAAATAAACATCAAGACTTGTAAACTTGTATAAAGCGTAATTGTTGAATATATATACATATATAATATATATATATATGTGTCTATAATATATAGGACATATCTAGGTATATATATAGAGAAATGTATGTAATTCGTTTGATTACGTTTTTATTTTTATACTTTTTGTTTGTTTCATATGTGAATGCAGCCTGGTGCGTGTAACACCAAACTTTCGATTCATTTCCGCACGGCCACCTACGAAGGAACGCAATATACGACGCTGCAGTGCAGTATACGATGTTTATGCTCGGCGAAGTTTAATCCTTTACACGGAGAGTACAGTTTCGAAACCAGGTATGAACCTTATATATTTTTAAAAAAATTGTTCAGCCTTACGTACAACGCGATAGTCGTGTTCGGAAATGTTATCTGTGAAATAAATTAACTATAGGTACCTACACTACCTACCTATATAATATTTTGAATTATGATAATTTTTAGTAGATAATTTGAATTCGTATAGCGAGGTTGTTATTATTATCGGTATACGCGGGTACCTACATATTATTACATTGGTATATAGATCGCGGTATATAGGAAATAATATTCATGGCATACATCACTTTATCGGTAATCTGTATACAAACATTGCACGCTGCTGCGGAGTCGCAACAACAATATTGTAATAATAGTTGTATATATTATGTATATTTTATAATAATATGAACTCGGGCGGATGTGAAATTGTAATAAAAACCGACTTGCATTATATGGTTGTAAGGCGACCCCCGTCCGATGTATGATATTATATAAGCTGCTAGATATACGGCAATAATAATTATTCGACGCATGGCGATTCGTTAAAGTTACTAAATCCAAAATGGTCGTCGCACAAAGGATGCGTACATATTATACTTTGTGTATACTATTGTGCTACCATTAAAAACATCGGCAACCTTAGTAGTAAATCACCCTGTATAGAATTCAAAAGCAGCCCATTCGGTCCTTAATTATTAGAATTAGTAAATCTTCGGGGGGCATCCCGTATACACGCTGTCTATTGTGCAATACGGTTTTAGGTCGAGAGGGGAATTTTTCTAAAATATATTCATTTATCTTCGTGTATAATGACCCACACAAATGTCAAACCGTCTCTTTGTTCGACGACAATTTGACGTAATTTTGTGTTCCGTCCGCTTAAACCACTATAATATATACTCATGATACACGGTCGCTAGCTACCACTATACGAAATAAATGACATAATTTCTAGCGGAATTGTCCGTTTTATTTTCAAATGTTATACGACGCACCGGGCAATAAACGCGTATAATTATTGTATAACAATAATGACAACGCGTATCTACCTACCTATATACTTATGTATAGTAAAAACTCGTTCGCGTGAGTGTAATATATTATTTGGAAAGGACTCTTTTACGATTGTCCACGAAATACCGGGCATTAAAAATAAAGATTACAATATTTTATTTTATGGCCGTGTGCCCGTCGTGTAGGCTACACAGGCCGGGTAAGTACCACCGACCGATCTACCTACGACGCCGTAATATGAAAACCGGCCCGTTTTAAACTTTAATGTGGAACCCGAGAATAAGCACACCATCGTCGTTTTTACACTCGACATTTTCTCGTTAGAATCGATTATCATAATGAATTAATTACCGGTTTCAAAATTGAACGTTGCGAAACGCAGTAATATCACTATTTAGCGAAACGATTTCTATAGCAGACCGACTCTATAATATTTTTTACGAATATAATATAAGGGCCGATAAAATATTATTCAGATATTAACTGTGAATTGTGTGCCGATCATTGTGATTTTTGGCTTAACTCGCTCCCTCTCTCACTCCGTCTCTCCTTCTCTTTCACTCTTGCTCACCCTCTCTCTCACAATATCAATCTCTTTCTCCCGCCCGCGGAGCCGCATACGATGAATACTTTTCCGCGCGCACGACGGCTCCATCGGTGTGGACTGAAATTATTATTACAATAACGTGAAATTCTTTTGTCCGCGTCGAGGTAATCAGCCTTTTAAATTATTATTTTTTTTCCGCTCGTATAAGCGGTTTTTATATATTCGCATAATATTCCACCGCGGCACTAATACGGATTTTACCTTCGATTTAACCCCTTTTTTTTATATGGCTCGACATATTTCTCCCGGCTCCCGCGGCAGTCTCCCCGCAAACAAATTCGCTATACGTGATTACCGTATATACATCACATCATATAATGTATGGCGTGGCGTGTACGTATCGGATACCATATAACGATTACCACACCCTCCGAATAGTGCTCGGTGTTCCATTGTGAAGATAGATAGGGGGGGGCGCTTATTGAATGCAATGCTGCTGCGGCAGACGATTCTCTCGGGGAAAACCACAAAAGGGTTATGTCGGCCTGCGGCCAAAACGCGGCTCGATTTTAATCCAAGCGATGGCTATTTTAATTAACCCGGTTGTGATTCGGCCAAGACGGGATTTGACAGCAAAAAAAGTTTTTCGTACAATGTATATATTATTCCTACCCACCCGACAAAACTTCTAACGAACCGAATGTACCTATATAATATATATTATGTGTCTGTGAGTACGTTCACCCACATTATAGTACTATATACACTCGTGTAAACGGGTCAGCCGAAATCCGCGAGACTTTGCAGTTTGTTTACGGGTTTTGAACAACATTATATTATCCACTAAAACGCGCATGCGCTAGTGCACACTCTGTATACATAATACCATTATAGTGTGTGCATTTATAAGAGGACGCCACACTGACGTTTTACATTTTTAGTATAGAAAAAACCTCGCTATGCGTATATTTCCATCAGAGCGGGTCTTAAAGGCTTCAACTGAAAATCGCCCATCGTCGGCTACGAAAAGGGGAACTTAATGCGCGATCGTACGCCAGTTTTTTTTCCTCGATATTTTAATAATTTCAAAACGAAATACCTAACCATTAAAACAAATCAATAAAATAAGCGTAGAAAAATATTAATTCTCCTCACACGTCGCGTGGCCTTAAAACTAAAATATCGAAAATAAATTATTATAATACCTAATAATTGCTGTATCGATGTAAGTCTTCACACTTTCGATTTCAGCTGGTTTAATTCCTGTATATTGCACGGCTGGGAGACGGAAATGTCAGTAAATGGTATAAGTGGGACCACCGTATTATGGCGTCTAGCGACTATATAGCGTACAGTCGTTGTCTTCTCTGTAAATAAAACTGCGGTGTTGTATTAATGTACTTACCAGTATTTTTGTAGAAAAGATAAACCGTAGGGTTAATATTATGAGAGTATACGATATGTACATTACAAAAATTAAAGTGCTTTCGAAAAAAAGGCCCGCGACCAAATGTACGACGTAATTAAATTTAAACTAAAATAACGCGCAGTAGATCAAATATAGTTATGATATGGGTCGATAACTTATTTAGTCATTATAATAATTGTAATTTCTATACAAAAACAATAGTGGTTTATTACAATCGTGATTATACTAATCAGCATATTATTATTTTCTTCCTGGTTTTCTCGGTCGAGACGGAAAATAATTTGTGTTTTTCTAACAGTACACTGAGGTCGAATATGTGTAATTAAATATTAATAATGTTTCAACAGATCTTTAAACAACTGTCATTAAAAAAACAATTATTATTTATTTTTCAGGAGCAAACAATTTGAACGATATTTGCATGACGTTACCGGCGAACACGAAGACAATAACAATATAATAATATTACCTATAACAGTGTCAACTGATGATGTATTTGTTTAATTTTTACTGATAATATTGAAATGTCATATTATAATATTATATCAATAATAGTCATTATGTACATTATACTAAAGTTACTAGTAACCGTAATGGGTGAGAAACGTGATAATGCTTAAAATATAATATTGTATTATAAAATATATAAAATATGTAAAATCACAAGCCGTAAGTATTTATAGAGTGATGAGTGTTGTAGCTGTATAACTTAGTGGCTAGTGCTATGTAAGGATTTAGTATTATATCAATAAATATTATATAAACGTTTTTACCGTTTTGCAAAAATTGTGTTAATGTCAATTTATTTAACTGAAAATAATAAAATTTTGCGCTTATTTTGCATACCTATTTGAAATTTCGATATATTATAATAATATATGGTCGTCGAACGACAATGCGTTAATATTTCCAATGCGTTTTGACAGTTGGAGTTGGCACTACACATTTATAAAACGTGTTATTATCATAGGCGCACATAGGGTGTGAATTTAGGGGGTGCTGGGATAATTTATGGTTCACAGGTCCGTGGGGGGCTTTGCCCCCCACACCCCCCTAGTCCTAATATTTCTGCATTGCATTAGATTTAATTTGTATAGTGTATACAAAAATGTCTAAAGTGCAATGTATCAAAATATAGTCTGTATGATTGTAAAGAAGACGCTAGGTACACCCACATATTGTGTTGTCTCCGTATTACAGACGTAGGTACAACATAGGAAAAACTGTTTTGCACGGATATAAAAAACATTCAGGCTCTACTCTAAGCTAAGAAACTAAATTTCTTGAAATTTTCTGAAATTTCTTCACACTATAAAAATGAGAAAATTTACTCTGTAACTTTGTTTTTATATTTTCCGATATCAAAACCAAAATAAAAGTTATTTAAGTTTGATAAACAAAAAAAGGTGCTCTGCTGTACAGTAGGGTACAAGTGGGTCACTGTGTAATCGATGGTATTAAATTTGAATTCAATGATATACTAACATCATTGTATAAGAAAAACGATTCTGAGCGAAGACGGTTAGTCAGCCTATGATATTACTAAGTATATTTGATGATACTAAGGTGAATAAAGCAATTTATATATAACCTATTTAAGTAGAATCTTGTTTTAAATTTTCAATCATTAGCTATAAAAGTTGAACATTTTATACATTTTTAACTATAAAATTATTATTAAATTTTAAATGTGATAAATTTTGTCAAAATTTGAATTTTAAATAATTATAAAAAAAATTGTGCCTATGTATTTTTCATATTTTTCAAGTGTTATTATAACAATATATCAGGAGCTTTGCATTAAATTTTCAAGCTTTTTTACCATAAAAATAAAATTTTATTGATATGAATAGAAAAAAAATTGAAAAAAATTGAAAACTGAAAATGTCCGTAAATAGCTCAAAAAGAATCAAAATATTTTCAAAACTATATGGTGTATAGGAAATGCTAATATAAAAATTTAGTAAAATTTTCAAGTATCTACAGTCATTCGTTTTTTAATTAGGTACAACAAAATTAGAAAATCGTTACATGAGAAATCGAGTGAATATCAAATGTTGTAAAAATATGAATTTCAAACGTTCATAAAAATTTAATTTGAGATTCTTATAGACATTTTTTTTTTTGATACAGGTAGTCAAACTTATGAGGAATCTTGCATTACATTTTCATATCTTAGATTTAAAAAGAAAAATTTTTATGAATTTCTAACTCGAAATAATTTCCAAATTTTCGTCATTTTCACGTCTTTTGTCAATATTTGGAATTTAAATGCTTATAACAAAAAACTGTGACTAAGGATTTTTAATATTTTTCATCTGTCTTTGAAACAATATATAAGAAGCCTTCTATTAAATGTTTAAGCTTTTATACCCAACAAATAAAATTTTATTGATACTTATAGAAAAAAAAACTAAAAATGTCCGTACAAAGCTCAAAATAACTCAAAATATTTAGAAAATTTTATCATGTATAGAAAATGGAAATATAAATAACCAGTGAAAATTTCATATATCTACGGTCATTTGTTTTAAAGTTACACCAAAAACCAAAATCAATTTTCTCGAAAACAGATTTTGCGTAAAAATTCCCGTTTTTCCTTAATTTTTCTTTTGTTTTTCACGGCGCTTTTGAAAACTACTGTGAAATTTTTGCTTTTGACCCCCCCAAAGTACCAACTAGATTCACTTTCCTATCAGAAAAGATACTGTTGAAAAAAATCCAAGCACTTTTACTGTCCTAAAAGATGATGACAGACAAAAAAAAAAAAAAAAATGAATTCGTGAATTCGTAAACAGTTGTCAATATTTGTAATGAAAAGAAAAATTCCGAACCAATAAACCACGATAGTTTATAAATGATTGGTGAAATACTGAAATAAACTGAGGGTGCTAGTTTGAAGCTTGGGGGTGCTAAGCACCCCCAAGCACCCCCCTATGTGCGCCTATGGTTATTATCAGTATATTATTATAAAATTATTATGGGTAGACACTAGAAAGACGGTTCCGTAAAATAACACAAAATTATATATCATTTACATAATATATAACATTGAATATAAATAGGTACGAACAATAAAAGTAGGTAAGTAATATTACTATAGAATAATAATATTATAGCGCGTGATGTACCCTACCACCTCGCCGCCCGCCGCGGTCCTTAAGTCGTCGTTCGAAGGATTCGGTTCGATTAAACCATTACATTATCCTGCGATATGCGGCTGGCTGTGCCAAACCAAATCTATAAATCACACTCCAATATATACACGAAGTGTTTCGAATGTATGCCCATATTATAATAACAAGCCAATCGGGTAAATATATACATAATATTATAATGTACCTACCTATAATACGTACAGTGTTTGACCGACTGAAGGCCGGATGAAAAAAAATCAAAATTATACAGATGCCTGTGTTAAATATATACCTCTGTACGAAATAATTTAATGGGTAAGGCGATAGACTGTGAAAATAATGTTCAAACTAGACGGGCGAGGACGATCTCGCGGCGCTCGTAGGTAGGTACACATATACTTAGGGTACCCAATACTATTATATTATTATTATATCGTTCTGTAGGCCACACGACAAATGTGCCTTTCAATTACGCGAGTAACACGACGATACGTGAAATAGGTAGGTCGAGTATACATATGGAAGATATAGGAATCAGCTGGAAAACCTGCCGAAATGGGTTTCGTGAAACTGCGATACGCGTTCATTATCGTCGCTGTCCCGTCCGAGGCAATAATTCACAATGATCGTAAAACGACCTGCCGGCCGGCTGCAGGACATTATATATATCGTGTACGATAATATATATTATTATACATTTTTGAACATGCGCTGCCGGGGGTACCCGTCGTGTACAATGATAGTGGTAGGTGCGTTTTTTTAAATTTTTTATTTATTACAAGCTTCTGCGCGCGGTCCGAACAGAGTTTATAATGTGCCACGGTGTGATACCTCGAGGCGGTCGAAACGAGCTTTTGGGTTGTATATATACCTAACCTAACCCATAGGTATTTAGGACATACTATATATGAATACATCGCAGACGATTGGATAACCTCTCGAATATTCGTCGGCGACTGCCAGCGAGAAACAACCGCACATGATAAAAATAATATAATATATGTAATTACAAATACACATATAAAATATTAAAATATTATGTCATACGACAGATTATTTTATAGTAATAAATCATTATACGGCGGGCGGCCGGTCGAGATTCGATTGGCGTTTGAAAAGTTATATAGGTGCAGACTGCAGGCAGACCAGTGGCTTTCAAATTGTTATACTTTACGCCTGCTATTGTTACCAATAATCCTTGACCTTAAAGTTTAAACTCAAATAACAATAATTTATAAAAACCATTAGCTCAGTTTATATCAGTAACAATATTAATAATAATGTTGTCATTATAAAGTAATCGTTTTAATTGTTGACTGTATAATCCGGTTGGTCTCATTATCATATTATCTTAATATAGGTTTTAAATACATTTTACTATTATATTGGGATTTGCAATGTAATTTAACTAGCTTAAAGTTCAAACTGATGAATAAAATAAAATAATTTTATTTTTATTTAATATGCCTCCGCTTGTAATATCCTCCGCTGTTGTTGAGTTGATTCCAGAGACTTAGTGTTAGGTACCCAAGAGACACTACGAAAGGAGGTTGGCTGAAAATTCTCTCAAAAATGTTCTTCTTTTTAGTTTTTTATATTTTGAATATCATCATGGAACATCATACAACTTTTTTATTTCAAATACTTTTGGTATTCATCATCATAGTTTGTAAAAAAGTAAGTCATATAGTAAAAAAAATGTAGGTACCTAAATCATACGCAGCCATTTCATCATCTCTTCTCCCACGTATCTAATAACCCTCTGAGTGTTGGGGGGGGGAATACCTAGTACCAATGTATTTTACGGTTTTTACGGTATACTGTTTAACAAAATATTTCAAAATACTGGCTGACGGCTTATACCTGAGTGTCATTATAATATTTAACATGAAATTATGAACCCCGCGGATGAAAGAAAACTGTTTGTGAGTGCGGGGAAAACGATGCGTTTGGGGTGAGGGGGTGGAGGGGGGTGATGCGAGGAGATAGACCCTGCAGATGGACAGAGAGAGATCCGTTTATACATTAGCCGTTGGCGGCAGATCATAACCACCGCCGCCGCCCGGGACGGTCGTCGACCTTTTTCGGCAAACACACTGCACACACATAGGGTCCGACCCTCGTAAGTCGGACGAGCGCGCTTTCCGTTGCGCGTCGCTCGACACTAAATGCAAATAATTGCGACACATGTGTGAACACAAACACACACGCCGATAATAGTAATAATAATAATAATAATAATTAGTGTAAGCTTTCACGATGTTCTATGCTATGAAGCTCGAGTTTGGATTGTGTGTGTGAGAGAGAGGGGAGAAAAACGGAGCGACCGGGATGGAAGAAACTTATATAATAGCAATATGATGTATA